TTCTTTTGAGGACTATTTGAATGGTAAAGGGTTCTCCAACCTTTCATTTTCAGGCTGTAGGTGTCCTTCTGTCTAAAATGAGTCTCTTGTAGACAGCAAATAGATGGGTCTTGCTCTTTTTATCAGGTCTGAAACCCTGTGCCTTTTGATGGGGCTGTTAAGCCCATTCACGTTCAGAGTTACTCTTGAAAGATATGAATTTAGTGCCATCATGATACCCATTCAGTCCCTGTTTTTGTGGATTGTTTCCTTGGACTTCCTCTTTCTTTTACAGAATCCCCCTTTATATTTCTTGCAGATCTGGTTTGATGGTCACATATTCTTTCAGTTCCTGCCTATCTTGGAAGTTCTTTATCTCTCTTTCTATTGAGAATGAGAGCCTTGCTGGATAAAGTATTCTTGGCTGCAGGTTCTTCTCATTTAGGACCCTGACTATATCCAGCCAGCCCTTTCTGGCCTGCTAGGCCTCTGCAGAGAGGTCTGCTGTTATCCTAATACTTCTCCCCATAAAGGTTAGGAATCTCTTGTCTCTTGCTGCTTTAAGGATCTTTTCTTTATCTTTGGAATTTGCAAGTTTCACTGTTAAATGTTGACGTGTTGAGTGGTTTTTATTGATTTCAGGGTGCGATCTCTCTATCTCCTGGATCTGGTTGCCTGTTTCCCTTCCCACGTTAGAGAAGTTCCCAGCTATGATTTGTTCAAATATGCTTTCTGGTCCTCTGTCTCTTTTGGCGGCCTCTGGAACCCCTATTAACCCTAAATTAAATTAGATTTTTCCTTCTGAGGCTGTCATTTTTTTCCCTTAACCTTTCCTCATGACCTTTTAATTGTTTTTCTCTTTTTTTCCTCAGCTTCCTTCCTTGCCATCAATTTGTCTTCTGTGTCACTCACTGGTTCTTCTTCCTCTTTAACCATCATTGTTAGGACCTCCAGTTTGGATTGCATCTTATTTAATTGATTTTTAATTTCTTCCTGATGAGATCTAAATTCTGCAGTCATAAAGTCTCTTGAGTCCTTTATGCTTTTTTCTAGAGCCACCAGTAGCTTTATAATTGTGTTTCTGAATTCACTTTCTGACATTGAATTGTAATTCAGATTTTGTAACTCTGTGGGAGAGAGGACTGTTTCTGATTCTTTCTTTTGAGGTGAGTTTTTCCTTCTAGTCATTTTGTTCATTGCAGAGTGGCCAAAAACCCGTTGTACTGGAAAAAGGAGAAAAAGAGAGAAAAGAGGGGCAAGGGGGAGAACAAACAGAAAACAAAAAGCAAGAGGAGGTATCCTCTGATTCTATATACTGTAAATCCCTTGACTTCCCCGGGACTTTCCAGCCCTGCTTGGTCAATGACTTGCTTTTTCCCCTGTCCTTCCAGCTGGTTTTCTGGGGGAGGGGCCTGCTGCGGTGATTCTCAGGTGTGTGCACCTGGGGGAGCCGCCCAGCCACTTGGCAGGTGCAGGGCTCAGTGCAAGCTGTTTATCCTGTGAAGCTCCTGTTCAGTCCCAGCTACAGGGTGACAGCAGGAGGAACAACAACAGTGGCGGCAGCCAGCTCTCCATCTTTTGAGTCAGCTCCTGCAGTAACTACCGCAGCTCCCAGTCTGCAGGGGCCTGGGTGGTCCGGGGGCAGGGGGCATAGATCTGCACAGCTCGGGGCCGCCTGGCAGCAGGAGCATCCTTGCTGCCCTGTGTCCTCCCGGCCTCTACCTGTCCTGGGGGGAGTGCCGGATCCTGCGCTGTGTCCCCGGTGCCCTGGGCTCTGGGGCCTGCAACACTGGAATCACATTCCCGGGGCCACACAGTGGCCGCCACCTGAGCTCCTCCCCGGGCCCCGCTGGGCGCGGCGTCCAGCCCTTTAGGGAGCTCAGCCTGCAGTGTGTGGAGGGATCTCCCCCAGAGTGCAGTTGCTCTTTTAGTGCCCCTGGGAGCCTGAGGGCATCCGTACCCCTTCTGGGATCCTGCCCGAGCTCCCTGCGAGCGCCTTTCCTTCCAGGAAGATTGGTAAAGTTTCTGCTTCTCCAGGACTGGGCTTTCCTGTCCTGGGGGCACTAGCTGCGTGGCCTTTGCCTGGCTCCTCACGGGGGCTCCTCCCCCTTGGATGCTTTTTTATTTCTTTATGTTTTTCCGTCTTCCTACCTTGATAGAAGCGCGAACTCTTCTGACTGTAGCATTCCAGCTCTTCTCTCTTTAAATCTCAGGCCAAATTCATAGGTTTTCAGGATGATATGAAAGTTATCTAGGTAAGTTGGTGGGGACTGGTAACATCGGGACCCTACTTTTCTGCCATCTTGCCCCGCCTCCTTCTCTTTTTAATATATACCTCAGTGCTATAAATGGTGAGATGAGTGCTACTCTTGGAGGATTCCAGAAATTTTTAACATATTATGTTTTTATTTTCATTCAATATGTGATACCTTGTAATTTCTTTTTTCATTATTTCTTTATTCCGAGGGTTTTTTAAAGATTTTATGTATTTGAGAGAGAAGGAGAGAGAGAGAGTGCACATAGGCGAAGGGAGGTCCAGAGGGGTAAGCGTCCTTCCCTCTGAGTGGGAAGCCCAACATGGGGCTCAATCCCAGGACCCTGAGATCATGACCTGAGCTAAAGGCAGACACTTAATCAATTGAGCCACCTAGGTACCCCGACCCAGGGGTTATTTAGATGTGCATTATTTTTTTTTAAACTTTTTTTTTTAAATTTTTATTTATTTATGATAGTCACAGAGAGAGAGAGAGAGGCAGAGACACAGGCAGAGGGAGAAGCAGGCTCCATGCACCGGAAGCCCGATGTGGGATTCGATCCCGGGTCTCCAGGATCGCGCCCTGGGCCAAAGGCAGGCGCCAAACCGCTGTGCCACCCAGGGATCCCTAGATGTGCATTATTAAACAGTTTGCAAGTATTTGAGTATTTTCCAGAGGTAGGTTTGTTCTTCATTTCTAATTTGATCACTTTGTGGACACAGAACACACTTTCATGACTTCAATCCTTTTGACTTAACTCCCTTTATTAAGGTTTATTTTATGACCCAGAATATAATCTCTTTTGGTAAATGCTCCATGGATACTTGAGAAAGATGGTGGTGGTCAAGTCTTCTATATCCTTGATGATTTTCTGCCTATGACTGCCTCAGACTAAAGTTGTAAATTTGCCTGTTTCTCTTTGCAGTTCTGTTGATTTTTGCCTTATGTATTTTGATGCTATTAATAGATTCATAAGCATTTAGGTTTGTTATGCTTATTTTTCGACCCTTTCATCATTAACAAATGACCTTATACATCACGAGAATATATATTGCTTTGAAATCTATTTTGCCTGGCATTAATATTGCTACTCAAGCTCAGCCTTCTTTTGTCAAGTGTGAGTGTGGTATATCCTTATCTTTGTCCTTTTCACAAATTTGTGTCTTTACATTTTTTAATTAATTTATTTTTTTGTGTGTCTTTACATTTAAAGTGAATTTTTTATAGGCAGCCTATGGTTGTCTCTTACATTTTTATCCATTCTGACAGTTTGCCTTTTAATTGAGACTTTTAGACCATTTTCTTTTTCTTTTATTTTTTGACAATTTTCATTTACTCTGATTATTGATACAGTTGATATAAATCTCTCATCCTGTTTGCTTTCCGTTTGACCTGCTTTGTTCCCATTTTCTTTGCTTTCTGCTTTCTTTTAGATTAATAAACTAATTTTTACAAGTTCAATTTATACATATATATAAATATACACATATATGTGTATGTATGTGCTTTGTTTATTACTATAACTCTTAAGATTTGCTATTTTAGTGATTGCTTTAGGGTTTATATTTTTTTTTTAATTTTTTTTTTATTTATTTATGATAGTCACAGAGAGAGAGAGAGAGAGGCAGAGACACAGGCAGAGGGAGAAGCAGGCTCCATGCACCGGGAGCCCGATATGGGATTCGATCCCGGGTCTCCAGGATCGCGCCCTGGGCCAAAGGCAGGCGCCAAACCGCTGCGCCACCCAGGGATCCCCGCCACCCAGGGATCCCTGCTTTAGGGTTTAAAGCATATGACTCAAGCATCACAGTCCACCTTCTTGTAGTGATATACCACATCATATGTAGTTTAAGAAAATTACAATAGGGAACAAGTGAGTAGCTTAGTGGTTGAGCATCTACCTTTGGCTCAGGGTGTGATCCCAGGGTCCTTGTATCAAGTCCCGCATCAGGCTATCTCAGGGAACCTGCTTCTCCCTCTGCCTGTGTCTCTGCCTCTCTCTCTCTCCATGTCTCTCATGAATAAATAAATAAATAAATAAATAAATAAATAAATAAATAAATAAATAAATAAATAAAGTCTTTTTTTTTTAATTACGATAGTTTACTTCCATTTCTTCTCTCCTAGCCAGATCCTTTGTGGGTCTGTGGGATTATAGTTTCCCTTCAGTTTAGAAAGGTTTCGGTCATGTTTTCTTTTCTTTTTAAAAGATTTTAAAGTTCTATTGATAATAAGATTTTATTCATTCATTTGAGAGAGAGAGCATGAGCAGGGAGAGAGGCAGAGGGAGAGGGAGAAGCAGACTCCCTACTAAGCAGGGAGCCCACCATGTGGCTTGATCCCAGGACACCAAGATGATGACCTGAGCCAAAGGCAGACACCCACTGATTGAGCCACCCAGGCACCTGGTATAATATCTTTACGTTGAAGTTACTCAATATTTATTTCATGTATGAATGAGTTAATGTGAACATGCTCGGTCCCTTATATTCAAAAAGTACTCATATTGTTTTATTTTACTTTTTTAAAGAACAAATTTGTGAGAGAGCATGAGCAGGAGATGGGGAGAGGAACAGAGAGGGAGGGAACGAGGGGGTAAAGAACCTTAAGCAAACTCTGTGCTGAGTGCAGCACCCAATGCCAGGTTCAATCCCACAACTGTGAGATCATGACCTCAGCCAAAACCAATAGTTGGATGCTTTACCAACTGACCCACCCTGATGCCTCCTGTATTTTATTTCTGTTTTTGTTTTTCCTCTGGTGTAGATTCTGTTAGCGTATTGACAATCCGGGATGCAATTCTTAAATACGAAAGATCAATAGAATTAAAAAAAAAAGAGTGTGAACAACTTATAAGAAAAATTTTAAAAGTGGAATATAAGGTCAATGGACTAGAAAAGTTGCTATCAGAAACAAAAGAAATGAAATCTCAGTTAGAGCATCAAAAAGTGGAATGGGAACGAAAACTCTACAGTTTAAGGTATGACATCTTGGTTTTAAGGAAATATTTCAACTATTTACTTTTTTTTTTTTTAATAGACTCCACACTCAGCATGGGGCTTGAACTCACAACTATGAGATCAAGAGTCACATGCTCTGTCAACTGAGCCAGCCAGGAACCCCTTGAAATACTTACTTTTATGCTGCAGATGTGTAGGAGAAGTTTTGTAATTGCTAATTTGCCTTCTGGGATTTTATAGGGAAGGAAACTCCGTTAGAAATGTGAAGTATCAAAAGACGAATGGGTAAAGAAGCAGTGGTCTATGTATACAATGGAATATTCCTCAGCCATTAGAAACGACAAATACCCACCATTTGTTTCCACGTGGGTGGAACTGGAGGGTATTATGCTGAGTGAAGTAAGTCCATCGGAGAAGGACAAACATTATATGGTCTCATTCATTTGGGGAATATAAGAATTAATGAAAGGGAATAAAGGGGAAAGGAGAGAAAATAAGAGGGAAATATCAGTGAGGGTAACAGAACATGAGAGACACCTAACTCTGGGAAACGAACAAGGTGTAGTGGAAAGGGAGGTGAGTGGAGGCTGGGGTGACTGGCTGATGGGCACTGAGGGGGTCACTTGATGGGGTGAGCACTGGGTGATATATGCTGTATGTTGGCAAATTGAACTCCAATTAAAAAAAAAAGATGTAAAGTGTGAGATTCTTTGAAATAATACAGCAAGGTTTTAACAGTGAATACTTCTAATAATTTAATGTATATTCTAAAGCATAATTTTAATGACCGTGTAGAAGTCCATCATATGTAAACCTCATTATTTAACAAATTGAATTTTGGTTGTTTTCTATTTTCCTATATTTTAATTAATGCTATAAGGAATGTCTTTTATTTAATTCTGTTTCTACATTCTTGGTTAATTGGAATAAATTCTTTAATGTAGCATTGTGTTAACATATAAAAATATTTAGTATAGGTCTCTGATCCATATTTTTAAATTGTTCTCAGGAAATTTTATATTATATGCCCCCCAACAGAGTGTGAAATGGCCAATTTTTCTCAAGACAGAAAAATTGGTTTATTCTTAACCTATGCAGGGGTTAAAAAGTAAAATGGGAAAATGATTAATGGTTAAGTTTTTTCAACATTTCTCACATATATAAAGAAAATTAATTCAAAAGTCTGTGCTGAAAGCACATCTTACTCTTTATTCTTTACTTAATATGGGTCCTGTGCTGTTTTCAAAGGAGTTTTCAAATGATTTATAAAATATATAATGATCAACAAGGCTGAGAATATTACAGAATAAGAAACATAAAAAGCATGGGCAATACATATTAGACTCCCTAGTCTAGTGCTGGATCAGAGTCATCTGCAGGTGTATGTAGTGTAAACGACATCTGCTGATGCTGTCTTACCCTGAAGATCATGTTTAGAGGTACCTGTGATGGTTTGTGAAATAAAAATGTATTTCTAGTGAATTTGTAAAGTTGTTGATAAACAGCCACTTCTCTTTTTAATTAGTAACAAAATGATTTGTCTTAATTGAAGCGTAATTATGACTCTGTGGGGAAAAATGGCAATTTTGAACTCTAACTTTCTTGAATAATTTCAGAATTCCTTTGCTTACAACATCTCCCAGAGTTATTACTGACTAAAACTTACTAAGTTGCAAAATGCTTTCTCATTGCTTCTTTTAAACTATATATCTTTTTGAAGAGATTGAAGTGATAAATTAAAAAACATGAGCCCTAGAAAGGGAAAAAAATTGAGAACAGAAAAATTTCCTTTGGATAATGAACCAACATATGGGGAACCAGATCATAAAATAAGATTTTTATTGCTAACAAAACAAATTTTAAAATGAACACATGCATTTGCAGATTGACTTTAAAACAAGAAAAAGAAAAAAGGAGAAGTGCTGAAATGTTACATATAAATATTAAGGAGCAATTAAGAAGTAAAGAAGAGCTGAGTGAAGTAAGTCAATCGGAGAAGGACAAACATTATATGGTCTCATTCATTTGGGGAATATAAATAATAGTAAAAGGGAATGTAAGGGAAGGGAGAAGAAATGTGTGGGAAATATCAGAAAGGGAGACAGAACATAAAGACTCCTAACTCTGGGAAACAAACTAGGGGTGGTGGAAGGGGAGGAGGGCGGGGTGTTGGGGTGAATGGGTGACGGGCACTAAGGGGGGCACTTGACGGGATGAGCACTGGGTGTTATTCTGTATGTTGGTAAATTGAACACCAATAAAAAATAAATTTATTATAAAAAACAAGAAGTAAAGATCTTTCATCCATTTTGAGTTTATCTTTGCGTATGGTGCAAGAGAATGGTCTAGTCTCATTCTTCTGCATGTGGCTGTCCAGTTTTCCCAGCACCATTTATTGAAGAGAGTATCCTTTTTCCAGTGGATAGTCTTTCCTGCTTTGTCGAATATAACTTGACCAGAGTCGAGGGCCCATTTCTGGATTCTCTATTCTGTTCTATTGATCTATGTGTCTGGTTTTGTGCCAGTACCACACTGTCTTGATGATCACAGCTTTGTAATACAGCTTGAAATCCGGCATTGTGATGTCCACAGCTCTGGTTTTCTTTTTCAATATTCCCCCAGCTGTTTGGGGTTTTTTCTGATTCCACACAAATCTTAAGATTATATATTCCAGCTTTCTGAAGAAAGTGAAGAAAGTCCATGGTATGTGGATAGGAAAGCATTGAATGTAAATCGCCCTGGGTTAGCGTAGACATTTTGACAATATTAATTCTTCCAATCCATGAGCATGGAATATTTTTCCATCTCTTTGTGTCTTCCTGGATTTCCTTCAGAAGTGTTCTGTAGTTGTTAGGGTATAAATCCTTTATTTCTTTGGTTAGGTTTTCCTTGGTATTGGTGGTGATCTCTCCTTTTTCATTCGTGATTTTATTAATTAGAGTCTTTTCTCCTTTGTTTTTTAAAAGGCTGGCTAATGGTTTATGTATCTTATTCTTCCTTTCAAAGAACCAACTCCTGGTTTTGTTGATCTGTTCCACAGTTCTTCTGGTCTCTATTTCATTGAGTTCTCAAATCTTCACTCTCTCTGTTCTACTTGGTAAAGGTTTTATTTACTGTTCTTTCTTCAATTCCTTTAGGTGCAAGGTTAGCTTGTGCCTTTGAGGTTTTTTCCCAATCTTTTGAGGGATGCTTGTATTGCGATGCATTTCCCGCTTAGGATTGCTTTGGCTGTATCCCAAGGATTTTGAATGGTTGTATCTTCATTTTCATTCGTTTCCATGAATCTTTTTATTTCTTCTCTAATTTTCTGGTTGACCCATTCATCTTTCAGCAGGATGGTCTTTCTCCTCCATGTGTTTGAGTTTCTTCCAGATTTCTCCTTGTGATTGAGTTCTAGTTTCAAAGCATTGTGGTCTGAAAATATGCAGGGGACAATCCCAATGTTTTGGTATTGGGTGGCCTATTCTGAGAAAGTTCCATGAGAAGACTGTGTATTCAGTTGCTTTTGGATGTAAAGTTCTGTAAATATCTGTGAAATCCATGTGGTGCAGTGTATCGTTTAAAGCTCTTGTTTCTTTGGAGATGTTGTGCTTAGAAGATCTGTCATTTGCACAACGTGCCGTGTTTAAGTCTCCTGCTACTAGTGTATTATTATCTAAGTATGCCTCTACTTTGGTTATGAATTCATTGAAATACTTGGAAGCTCCCACATTAGAAGCATAAATATTCATGATTGTTAGATCTTCTTGTTGGATAGACCCTTCAAGTATGATATAGTGTCCCTCTTCATCTCTTACTACAGTCTTTGGGATAAACTTTAATTTATCTGATATAAGGATGGCTACCCCTGCTTTCTTTTGAAGACCATGTTAATGGTAAATGGTTCTCCAACCTTTTATTTTCATGCTGTAGGTGTCCTTATATCTAAAATGAGTCTCTTGTAGACAGCAAATAGATGGGTCTTGATTTTTTTATCCAGTCCGAAACCCTGCGTCTTTTGATGGGATCATTTAGCCCATTCACATTCAGAGTACCTATTGAAAGATATTAATTTACTATCATTGTAATGTCTATTCAGTCCCTGTTTTTGTGGATTATTTCTTTGGGCTTCCTCTCTTTTACAGGGTCCCCATTAATATTACTTGCAGAGCTGGTTTGGTGGTCAATGTTCTTTCAGCTTCTGCCTATCTTAGAAGCTCTTTAATCCTATTCTGAACGAAAGGCTCACTGGATAGAGTATTCTTGGCTGGATGTTCTTGTCATGTAGAACCCTGAATATTTCCTGCCAGCTGTTTCTGGCCTGCCAGATCTCTGTGGAGAGGTCTGCTGTTAATCTAATATTTCTCCCCATATAAGTTAGAAATCTCTTGTCTCTTGCTGTTTTAAGGGCTTTCTTTTTCTTTGGAATTTGCTTGTTTCACCATTAAATGTCGAGTTCTGCTCCCCTCCCCCCCTTGGTGGGGAACCTCTCTATCTCCTGGACCTGAATGCCTTTTTCCCTCTCCAAATTAGGGAAGTTCACAGGTATGATTTGTTCAAATATCCTTTCTGGCCCTCTGGCCCTCTCGACCTCCTGTGGAACCCCAATTATGCATAGAATTTTTCCTTCTGAGGCTCTCAGTTATTTCCCTTAACCTTTCCTCATGGTCCTTTAATTGTTTTTCTGTTTTCTCTTCAGCTTTCCTCTTTGCCATCAACTTATCTTCTGTGGCACTCACTTTTTCCTCTAACTCATTAACCCTCATTGTTAGGACCTTCAGTTTGGATTGCATCTCATTTAATTAATTTTTAATTTTGGACTAATTAGATCAAAATTCTGCAGTCATGAAGTTTCTTTAATAATACTCTTCGCTTTTTTACAGAGCCACCACTAGCTTTATAATTGTGCTTTTGAATTGACTTTCTGACATCGAATTGTAATTCAAATTCTGTAAGTCTGGGGAAGAGAGTACTGTTTCTGATTCTTTCTTTTGTGGTGAGATCTTCCTTCCAGTCATTTTGCTCACTGCAGTGGCTGTATGAACGGGCTGAGTCAAGACTATCAACCACAATATAAGTCAATTTCACCTTAGATGATTGTTTTTAAACATTTCATTTATGTATTCATGAGAGAGAGAGAGGGGCAGAGACACAGGCAGATGGAGAAGCAGGCTCCATGCAGGGAGCCTGATGTGTAACTTGATCCTGGGACTCCAGGATCATGCCCTGCGCTGAAGGCAGGCACTAAACCACTGAGCCACCCAAGGTTTTTATCCTTCGATGATTCTGACAAGGTCCATGACATGAAATTTAAAATGAAGAGAACAACAAAATAACACAAAATGACCACTAAAGTGAAAAACAAATTTTAAAACAAAGTAGTAGAAAATAAAAGGCCAAGAATGCCAAGGAAGAAAAAAAGAGAAAAAAAGCAAAGGTAAAAAGGGGAAAAAGAAAAAAAGTCGAAAAATAAAATGTTGGGGGGACTGGGACATGGTGGTGGTGATGAAGTTGTAGTGGAGGGAGAATGTAGTCTACCTGAGGGGTCCTAGGGGGTGATCCCCTTGGTCCTGGGTGTATTAAGTTCTGTATGTTAGAAGATACTGAGTCCCAAATTTCTATAAACCAGAAATACTTGTAGAGAGCCCCAACATTGTTCCCCAAAACATAAATGAGATAAAAAGGGGGGCAGAATGGGAATGAAGAGAGAATATAGTCTCACAGAATGAACCAGCACGGTATACCACTTGGTTCTGGGTGCATGCTGGTCCTGTTTTAGAAGGTATTGTGCCATTGTAGAACAAAATGAGGCAGAGAAAACAAAACACACACACACAAAAAAACATATCTCGTCTAGCTCCCAAAATTAAGTTGAGCATGTTGAAGGGAATCTAGAAGTGGAAAATATATCTAAGACGTGTAATTGTAAAAATATGAGAGTCAAAAAGGAAGAAACTTAAAAATGAAGAGGTGGCAAAATATTGTAGTTAAGGTGGGAAAAGAGAAAGAAAATTGGAAACTTACAGTCTGATATAAAAATGAGTTGTACTGGAACATGGGGTGGGAAAAGAGGGGTACCCTCTAGTTCTATATAGTGTAGATCCCTTGCCTTCCTCTGGAGTTTTCCAGCGCTGCTGGGTTGGGAACTTGCTCTTCCCCTGTCCTTCCAGCTGGTCTTCTGGGGGAGGGGCAGGTGTGTGCACCTTGGGGAGCTGTCCCACCCCCTGCTGGGTGCAGGGTCAGGGGGAGCCGACCTCCGTGAGGCCCGTGTCCCGTGGCGGTCCTGCACCGGGTGACACCAGGAGGGACAACCACACCGGTGGCAGCCAGGTCTCCCTGGCCCTGGAGGGGCTCCCCCCGCAGGGACTCCCGCCATCTCCGAGTCCACAGGGGCCTGGATGCTCCCGGGGCAGGAGCGTCCTCGCTGTCCTGGGCCCTCCCCGCCTCGGCCTGTCCCGGGGGGAGCGCAGGATCCCGGCTGTGTCCCCTGGGGTCCGGGGCCTGCCTGCTGGAGTCTGGCTCCCGGAGCCCCTCCCGACACACCGGCTTCTCCCCGAGGCCCCGCGCAGCGTGCTCCAGCCCTTTACGGAGCTGGGCCGGTGTGGGGGGCGCTCTCCCCCAGCGCCCCTCCTCTGTCAGTGACCCCGGAGACTGGAGGTGCCCCCCGCCCCACCACTTGCTGCCCGAGTTCCCTGCTGAGCGCCTTTCCATCCCGGAGGAATCCGGGGCGGGTTTTAAAGCTCTCACTTGTCCGCTTCTCTGGGACTGGGCTTTTCCGCCTGGGAGGCTTTTCCCACTGCAGGCCTCAGCCCGGCTCCTCCGGTGCCCCTCCCCTTTTTTATTTTTTTCCGCCTCCCTACCTTGTTAGAAGCAAAAACCCTTCTCTGTAGCATTCTGACTGTTCTCTCTTTAAATCTCAGGTCGGGGGGATCCCTGGGTGGCTCAGCGGTTTGGGCCTGCCTTTGGCCCATGGCATGATCCTGAGTCCCGGGATCGAGTCCCACGTCAGGCTCCCTGCATGGAGCCTGCTTCTCCCTCCTCCTGTGTCTCTGCCTCTCTCTCTCTCTCTCTCTCTCTCTCTCATAAATAAATAAATAAATAAATAAATAAATAAATAAATCTTTAAAAAAAAAAATCTCAGGTCGGGCACTTACCGGGGGGAGAGGGGGCACTTGACGGGATGAGCACTGAGTGTTATATGTTGGCAAATCGAACTCCAGTAAAAAAATAAATAAAAATCATCAGTCATTCAATCTCAGGTCAAATTCGTAGGTGTTCAGGATGATTTGAAAGTTATCAAGGTAAGTTGGTGGGGCCAGGTGCTTGAGGATCCCTACTCCTCCCTCACCTTGCCCCCGTCCCACCCAAGATGGAATTCTAAACAATCACCTTTGCAAACGAAATGAGACAGAAATGTCTCATACTAAAATGAATTCTGAGGTATTTTCTTTAGTTATTTTGAAGTATGTGTGTATGTATTTGTACGTATGTATAATTTATTTTTTGGAATTATTATTTTTCTCCATGCATGTGTATATTTCTAAAAAACCAACCCTGTACATTATGGAAAGTACAGAGGATTTTAAAAGAATACATATGTGTGTGTGTGTGTGTATACATATATACATACATACATACATACACACACATATGGGTCTATATAGGGGGGAGTGAAGTTTGTAGACCATTCATTAATTTAAATGCATTTGTCTACAGGTGTCAAATAGTGACATTCATAATGCCCTTATCTGAAAGAGAAGTTTTTATTATTTTGGAAAATAGTATGGAATTTATGAGCTTTCCATAGCACAAAACTCTTGCTACTAACAACATATGTTTTAGTTTTTGGCAATTCCTTCACCACCTCTATATTCATAGAGAGGTTAGTTTCACACTTCCACTGATGAACAGTGGAAGGAAAAGTGTAGCCCGTTTTAAGACCTTACTTCAGATGTTAGTCTCCTAATTTTGAGAAGAGTAACAATTTGCTCCAAGTAGTATCTGATTTCATTACAAGGAGCTTTTGAAATAATCATATGCTGTAATATATACTTACTGATAATTTATTGATAAGTCTTTTGTTCCTAATAAAATAGCTCAGTGTATTTTCCCCACTTCTGCATTTATTGCCATTTTAAACATCTGAAGAGGAAATAAAATTAGTTGCAGCCACAAATAATCTCATGATTTTTCTAGGAGCTACATAAATTTTACCTTAGTTAGTATTGGTATTTTGAAATATAAGGCTTTTTTTTTTTCTTTTTAAAAGACTTTCTGGATTCATTTGACAGAGTACAAGCAGGGGGAATAGAGGCAGAGGGAGAGAGAAAAAGAAAAGCAGGCTTTCTGTGGAGCAGGGAGCCTGACACGGGACTTGCTCTGAGGATCCGGGGACCATGACCTCAGCCGAAGGCAGAGGCTTAACTGACTGAGCCACCCAGCCACTCCTGAAATACAAGGCTTCTTTTGTATTTAAGATTCACACTAGAGAAGTAGCTTCAGTTTGGTGCCAGAACAGTGGTAGTGGGTACAAAGACCTGGGGAATGTCCTGCAGCTCACTTAGTATTTTTAACCTCTCCATTCTGGAATTGTGATAACTAAAAGAGATAATTAATGTATGCAGACATGTTTGTAGTACAATGCCTAGATTTATTAGTTATCAGTAGATAAAATTCTTATAACTGAGTGTAGAAATGTTAGAAAAGTAGAATACGTATGGAATATTCTCAGGACAAAGTGAGGTTAGGAAATTGAATCTGTCCAAATATATGCAGAGCTAAGGGTTTTCCTGTGGACTGTGTTAGATGTGAGACTGTAAACTCAATTTTAGTGTAGTCAGATGTATTAGTCTTTTCTTTCAGGCCTTCTGCGTTTGTTGTAAACCAGAGAAAGACCTTTCCAATTCTGAGATTCTTAGGATTTTGTCATGATTTCTTTTTCCTTTCATGCATCCATTGCTTTCAATTAAACTTTTGAACTTTGGGGAATTTATGCTTGCACAAAAGTTTGAGGCTTGGATCCAACTTTGTGTGTTTCCAGTTGGATATCCACTTAACTGCAACCTATTCCTTGTATAAACATAGGATATTCTTTGATTTCAGAGAAAATCATGATAATGTCATTTTATTGAGTTCCAGCTAAAAGACTCTTGTTTTACTTAGGTTTCTCCTCCTCATGAAAAAGAAAAAGGTCTGTTACATGAAAACTGCATGTTGCAAGATGAAATTGCCATGCTAAGACTGGAAATAGACACAATAAAGAATCAGAAGCAGGAAAAGGCAAAGAGGTATTGTGAAGACACTGAAATTGAAAAAGAAAAGAATGACAGTCTTCAAAACGCCATAAAACTGAATGACGTAACATTAACAAATACAGTATTCCAGTCTAGTGGGCAGCTGAATGTTGTGACAACTGAGAATACCATGCTGAACTCTAAACTGCAGGATGAAAAGCTAAACAGAGAAAGACTGGAAGCAAAACTTCAATCATACCGAGCTAGACTCGCTACAGCTATACAGGATCGTGATCAAAGTCAGGCATCAAAAAGAGACCTAGAACTTGCTTTCCAGAGAGCAAAAGATGAGTGGTGTCATTTACAGGACAAAATGAACTTTGAGATGTCTAACTTAAAAGATAACAATGAGGTGCTTTCTCAGCAACTTTCTGAAGCCGAAAGTAAATTCAATGCCCTAGAAATTGAGCTCCAGTATACAAGAGATGCTCTCAGAGAAAAGACTTTGGCTTTAGAACATGTACAAAGAAACCCAAAACAAACACAGGGCCAGAAGAAGGAAATTGAGCAGAAATATCAAAACGAACAAGGTAAAGTGAATAAATACATTGGAAAGCACGAATCCTTAGAAGAGAAATTATCTCAACTACAAAGTGAAAATATGTTGCTCCGAGAGCAACTAGATGATGCCTACAGCAGAGTGGAGTGTAAAGAAAAGACTAGAATTGATCTCGAAGACCAGGTTCAGGTTATTGTAAGAAATATTCAAGCTGAAAGTGAAAAACGAAGTCTTATACTGCAAGAAAGAAATAAGGAGTTAATCAATGAATGTAAACATTTAATGGAAAGAGTATATACTTATGAAAAGGAGAAAGAAGAAAGAGAAGTAAGTATTCAGAAAGACAAATATTTTTCAAGCTTCCTGTTAGAAAATTCAAAGTAATGTTTGGTTATGGCTTATTAGTCCAGTTTTTTTTTTTTTTTTGGAGAGAAATAGTGCACCTGCACCTAAATGGGAGTGGGGCAGATGGAGAGGGAGAGAGAATCCAAAGTGGGCTCTATGCCCAGTGCAGAGCTCCACTTATGACCCTGAGATCACAACCTGAATGATTATGGGTCAGTTTTGAATCTAGATGAATGTAAAAAAATATAGACCTATCAGTCAGCATAACTTGTATCCAGCAAATAAAAATTAGACCTGAAAGGTGCTTTAATTTGAATAAAAATGTGCGTCATCTATGAGAAACCTCAAGAGGTTAAGTTATACATTGTTAAAGAAAGGAGTCTGATACTAATAATTTATTGTTAGTACTACTAAAATAGTTTTAATTCTTGTCACCGCATTTTAATACCATGGTGAACAGATAAGTGGAAATGCTCATACCTGAGTGTTTTGACCTTGAGGTTCAAATAAGTGGATTAACTTGACAACTAACTCCAGATTTGTCACATGAACTGAAGTGTAGGTGCTGTATCTCAGTACTTTTTTTTTGATAGCTTTTTAAGCATTTTCAGTTAGCATACTTTTATTTTTATTTATGTAAATTTAAATGTTTAGTCTCAAATTATTCTTGTGACCTTTTAACTCTTTGAAGGCATCTACTTTTCACTAAAGCATAATTTGGGATAACTGGTGACTTAGCAAAGCTGTATTTGATTTCATCTTCCCACTACGGTTTATAATTTAAGCATTTTTCAAATAATTTGCTCATTTCAAAACTCAAGTAACTACCATTTGGGCTTAAAATTTTCCAATAGAATTGTATCTTTGTGATTTATTAATTTAGCACTGGATCTCCATTTTCAGGCTACTGAGGGAGGGATGGCAGGATTCTTGTATAGCAGGAGTGGAGTGAGCATGAACAGGGGAGGGAGCTCTAGGAGCTGAGGCCAGGAGGGAGGCAGAAGCCAGGTTATGTAGGGGGCTTGAGGGCCATTAGTATGACTTCACTTTTGTTCTGAGATAGTAACCTATTGGAAGGATTTGAGCAGAGGATTGAGTATGTGAAGAACTCGGAAGTTAATTTTAGTCTCTAATAAAAAAGAGAGAAAACATTTCATTAATGTAGAATTTACCACTGCTAGTCTCACCTATGTAATACCCATTTCTTTTTGAGACTTCAGCAGGCTGGGAACCTTTGCAAATTCATCAACAAGGAATGGAGAGTGGGGCTGAGATAATTATGTATGTAACATAATACTGACTAGGCAGGAGGATAACACTTTTTGTGTCTTTAACTGAATTCACTTAACAGCAGTATGTACATTCTAGGAATAAAAGGTGAGTTGATGTATGTGGTGATAAAGTACATACGTTAGAATTATATATTATTAACATAATAATAGGATGATTTCTAAAATCAGTAACAGAAGGTCTTATTAGGTAGTTATGAGAGAACTTCAACAAGAACTGGCTGATGCCCTAAAACACAATCTATGTCACAGGCTTCACCGGAGTTATCACATTATCGTATTAATTTAGAAGATGAGGTACAGGATTTAAAAACATTGGATCAAATCAGAAGTCAGGTATGTATTACATATAACATGTCAACAGTTCATCTGTAGCTGGTTAAATAATATAAAGTGTTTTAGGATGCTAATTTCCATGGACCACTTTCTTTTGTGTTTTCATTTCAATTTAGCATAATTTTAGTGTCTTCACCATGCACTTATTTATTAAATTCTGACTTTTCATTCTGCTCTCTGTGTTATATGTCTTTTCTTATAGCATTTACCCATTCACAGAAACTGAGGGACTTTTTTTTTCCTGCTATACATTTTTTTTAACGATTTATTTATTTATTTGAGAGAGAGAGAGAGAATGCATGTCCATGCACACTCATGAGTAGGGGGAGGGGCACAGGGAGAGAGAAAGAATCTCCAGGAGATTCCCTGCTGAGTACAGAGCCCCATGCCAGCTTAAACCCACCACCAATGAGATCATGACCTGAGCTGAAATCATGAGTTGGACACCTAAACCAACTGAGCCACCCAGATGCCCTAAAAACAATGTTTTCTAATGAGATCTCTATTACCATGATGAGGCGAGCTAGATAAAATCAGAAGATAAGGTTTAATGGAATGTTTCAGAAAATCGTCTTACTCCTCATCTTCACTTTTATTGATGGATATAGACTGTACTGATTTCAGGAAAACTTGTAAAGAAAGGTTACGACTAGTGGAACTGAGGCATTTCCTTCATTTTCTTTTCCTTTTATATATTTATTTTTAATATATTTATTTACAAATATTATAAACTATTTATATTTTTAATATTTATATATTAAAAATGCTTGGAAATATTCAGATGATGTATATACAGCCAAAAGAGAGAATTAAGAAAATTATCTAGGTCCTGCCATTGACTCTTTTTAAAAGCTTTATTGAGCTATAAATACACCTACCATACAGTTGACCCATTTAACATGTGTTGTTGTTGCTGAGTATATTTATAGGGTTTTGCAACTATCACTGCCATCAGAACATTTTCATCACCCTGAAAAAAAACCCTTAGCTGTTGCCCTTGACCTCCGGCAACCAGATGTCTACTTCTTGTCTCCATAGAGTTGCCTATTGTGAATGTTTCATATAAAGGGAGTCACACCATGTGTGGTCCTTTGTGACTCACTTCTTTCACTTCCTGTTTGCAGGGTTCGCCTATGTTCTAGCATACGTCAGTGCTTCATTTCTTTTTCTGGTCAGACAGTCCTCCATTGTGGGCTAACGCCCTTGTTCATTCATCATTTAATGCACCTTTGGGTTATTTCCACTTTGTGGCCATTAATAATGCTGCTGTGAACATTGATTTAGTTGTTGTCTGGACATCTGTTTGTATTTCTCTGCCATCAGATTTTTTCCTTTAAGTTAATTCGGGTGATTTTACCATCTCTCACCTTTTTTTTTTTACTCATTCTACCCTTTCTGTCTTTTTAGTTTCCCTTCTTCTTGCCTAATCCTACACTATTGAGTCATGGCTCATTGTCTCTCGTTCTCCATGAGGCTTTCTCTGATTATTCTAACTCCCCCTGAACTTACTTTCTTCACACGTATTATCTAGTCTGTGCAGACCAGTTTAGTCCTTTATTTTACATTGTTTTTATTTTTTTTCATGAGCGATAATTCTGTCTTCCTATGTACAAATGTATCTAAGAGGGAAAATATTTTATGTGTATGGTACCTGTCCTTGCCTAAATTTGAGAATATCTTAACAGTTTTTAGTATAAAATTAAGTACTTTATACCATAGCAGTAATTTCTGATTGAAACACATTGACATAGCAAAGCTGTATTCTAAATGTATTTTAAGCAGTTAAGTGTAAAACTGAAAGCATTTAATCCGATCGGGCAAAGTGTTCAATCGGATGCTGGTTTTTTCTGATTATGGCAAAACAGTCTAAATATACCTGCCTTCGTTATGCAACCAGAACTGAGATTTACAGAGTTCCAGCACTTTACCAATTATAAAGCTCTGAGGACAGGTTTTTTAATTTTTTTAAGTTTATTTATTTATATAATCATTACATCTATTGTGGGGCTTGAACAGGACCTGAAGGTTAACCGTTGGATGTTCTTTTAACTGAGCCAGCCAGGTGCCCCTGGGGGCAGCTTTTCTGATATGCCACATCAGGGAGCCTTAATCTCTACTCATCAGAGTACTTGCTAAAGCCCTCTAACATAAAGAGTTGCTAAGATGAACAATATGAACGTGAAATGATTTGGGAACATTGGTTTAGCAAGAGTCCATTATTTCCACGTCAGTGGCTTTACCTTGCCTCTGATGGTCATGTAAGTTATGTATCACTCAGTGTAGGAGTTACTGTTTGCACTGTAGTCCATGAGCATTGTCCACTGAGTAGTATAGAGAGGAGGTAAATTAAAATTATTATAAGTGGAGGAAAGTACCATTGGCTAGTGGAATTTTTGAAAGTTTTTTCTTGAAGATTTAAAAAAAAATTAACTTTTGTTTATTTACTCATGAGAGACAGAGAGAGAAAGGCAGAGACACGGGCAGAGAGAAAAGCAGGCTCCATCAGGCCTGATGCGGGACTTGATACCAGGACTCCAGGATCAAGCCTGAGCCAAGTCCCAGATCAAGTGATACATAACCGCTGAGCCACCCAGGCGTCCCTTTTTTTAAGATTTTACTTGCGAGAGAGAAAGAGAGAGAGAGAGAGAGAGAGAGAACATGAGTGCACAAGCAGGGGGAGGGGCAGAGAGAAAGGGAGAAGCAGACTCCCTGCTGAGCAGGAAACCTGATGTTGGGGTCTCAATCCCAGGACCCCAAAATCATGATCTGAGCCCACAGCAGATGTCTAACTGACTGAGCCACGGAGCCACCTGTAGTGAAAGTGTTTTGAAGTCCTGAGGCTATATCCTGGGTCTTATGCTCCCCATTTGCTACCGCTTTCAGTGGTATGAAGAATGATTTCAATATAACTTGTGTAAGAGACCACTTTCATTGGCCTGCCATCTGCCTAAAATATCAAATATCATTAGAACATAAAACACAGCAACAATAATAATGCTAATAGCAGACACTTAGAATTTGGTATGTGCCACATACTCTTCTAAGTAGTTTATGTATATTCCCTAATTTAAACTTCCGACTATCACAGTTAGGTAGATACTATTATTAACTTCATTTTACACATGAAGAAACTGAGACACAGAATTTGAAGTAATTTTTCAAGGTCAAACAGCGAATGCCCAGGGGAGTTGGGAATTCAAATCCAGGCATTCTGGTTCTTACAGAGATCCTGCCTCTGAAGCTGTTACTTGAAATATCTCATTGTCCCTGAAAGCAGCATGTTAACTTGTATAATCACTGGAATGCCCATGGTGATTTGTAAATGTGAATATTTAAAATTATAATTGATGTCGTGCTTGGAATAGAAAACTAGAAAAGTTTACCATGCTTATACCATCCACCACCCGTGCTTGCCTCAGTTCCAGCACAGCAAGCCCTTCCCCCAGAAGACCAGTACAAACCCCTGCGGACACCATGTGTCCCGACCAGAGTTTTGCAGGGTCTCAGTTCCAGTGGAGTGTGATAGGTCTCATTTCGCAAGCTAGTTAAAACCTGCTAGATTCAGGCCAAGTACCAAACACTGCCCACAGCAGATACTGAGAGCCTATCTCTCAAATGACTGGCCTGAGGGATAGAGGAGCCAGAACCCAGTAGCAGAGTGCATGCTGCACACCCTGGAAGACCCTCCCTGAAGCACCAGGCCCTGGGCACTACGGGACCATTTTCAGTGGTGCATTACTTTCAGGAACAAGTGACATAACTGGCTTTTCTAACTCAGAGACCTACACAAAATGAGAAGACAGAGGAATTTATCTCAAATGAAAGAACAGGATAAGGCCACAGGGCCAGAGGTCTAAGTGAGAGAGAGAGAGAAATAACGTGCCTGGTGGAGGATTTAAAGCAGTGACCATAAGGATGTTCAGTGGACTTGAGTAAAGAATGGAAGACATCAGTGAGACCCTTACAACAGAGATAGAAGAGTTAAAAGAGAATCTGAGATGAAGAGTGCAATAAATAAAATTAGAATACAGATCTAGAATATTCTCTAGACTAGATCATACATTAGGCCACAAAACAGGCCTTAGGAAGTACAAAAAGATTGAACTCCTACCATGCACCTTTCCTGACCACAATACTATGAAACTAGAAGTGGACTACAAAAAACCGTCTGAAAAGACCACAAATACATGGAGGTGAAATAACATCCTACTATCAATGTGTGGGCCAACCAGGAAATAAATGAAGAAATTTCAAAATACATGGAAACAAATGAAAATGAAAACACAATTGTCCAAAACCTTTGAGATGCAGCCAAAGTGATTCTAAGAGGGAAGTATATATAGCAATACAGGCCTACCTCAAGAAGCAAAAAAAAAATCTCAACACAACCTAACCTTACACCTAAGGAAGCTAGAAAAAGAACAACAAATGAAACCTAAAGCCAGCAGAAGGAAGGAGATAATAAAAATTAGAGGAAAAATAGGGGTCCTGGGTGGCTGAGTTGGTTAACTGGCCAACTCTTTGATTTTGGCTAAGGTCACGTTCTCAGGGTCCTGGGATTGAGGCCTGCTTCAGCCTCCAACCTCAGTCTACTGGAGGATTCTCTCTCTCCCTTTTCCTTTGCCCCTGCCCCCCCAATAAATAAATCTTTAAAAAAAAAACATTAGAGTGGAAATAAATGATATAGAAACTAAACACAAAAATAGAACAGATCAACAGTAGCTGGTTCTTTGAAAAATTTAATAAAATTGATAAGGCTCTAGCCATAGTTCCCAAAAAGAAAAGGGAAAGGACCCAAATAAAATCACACATGACAGAGGAGAATAACCAACACTGCTGAAATCCAAACAATTATAAGAGAATGTTATGAAAAATATATGTCAACAAATTGGACAACCTAGAAGAAATGGATAAGTTCCTAGAAACATATAAATTACCAAAACTGAAGCAGGAAGAAAGTAGAACAGAACGCTAACCAGCCAAGAAATTGAATCACTAATCCAAAAACCTGGAACAAACACAAGTCCAGGACCAGATGGCTTCAGAGGCAAATTCTACCAAGCATTTAAAGAAAGAGTTAGTATGCGTTCTTCTCAAACTGTCCCAAAAAACAGAAGAGGAAGGAAAACTTCCAAATTCATTTGATGAGGCCAGCATTACCCTGATACCAAGACCAGATAAAGACACCACAAAGAGAATTACAGGCCAATTTTCTAGTGCAAAAATCCTTAACAAAATAGTAGCAAACTGAATCTAACAATACATTAAGAAAATCACCGCCATGATCAAATGGGATTTATTCCTGGGTTACACGGGTGATTCAGTATCTGCAAATCAATCACTGTGATGCACCATATTAATAAAAGAAAGGAGAAGAATCATCATCATTTCCATAGATGTAGGAAAAGCGTTTGATGAAGTACAATATCCATGCATGATAAAAACCCTCCACAAAGTAGGTTTAAGAGGGAACATACCTCAACATAATAAAGGGAATATATGAAAAAATGCACAGATAATGTCGTCCTAAATGGGGAAAAACCAAGAGAAAAAGTTCATGGCTGGTGGTGTTGATGCTGGCTGTTGCCTAGATTTATAGTTAGGGCAGGCAGCCAAAATGCTTACACTGGCACACCTGGACTCTCTTTGTGGCCTGAGCCTCCTCACAAGAGGAGGGGCTAAATTCCAAGTAAGCAGGCTGAGATACAGAACAGGGCAGAAACTGTGTTGCCTTTCGTAGCCTAGCCTTGGAATACACACAACATCACATTGACCGTATTCTGTTCGTTAGTAGCAAGTCACTAAGGTTAGCCCACAGTCTTTTTGTTTTGTTTAGTTTTAATGGAATACTGGAACACCTATGAACACATGAAGAACGCAATTTTTAGTGTAATTTACCCACCAGCTACAGTGTTCTATATTCCTTTCACATGAAAAATACACTCACCTCCTCCCAGTACCTCCGACAAATCTCAGTTATCATGGCATCGGGTTCAGGATGGAGTCCAAGATCTTGCCATCTTAATCAGATGCAGTGGGGATAAGGTGCCAGGGTTATGTTGTCTAAATTTTAGTCCTTTGAGTGCAGGTTCTCTCAATAGGAATGAAGACTTGAGAATTAAAGAGAACAGTTCTCTACTATTGAAAACACAACATTCTGGTAACTTGCTAAAGACTCTTCCATTCAGAAAGAAGATGGAAATCACACTAGTCCATAGCAGGTTTGAAATGCAGTCTGATGCATGTGCCCATTTTTCAGTCAGACTTAGTCTGAAACCATGGAAATTTTTCTCCATGGCTCTTTGCTGTCTATCCTATCTGAGCTCTTGGTTCTGTCCTTCAAGAAATGACCTGTGTTTGCAGCTGTGTTTTCAGCCTGCTGCCTCCCTGTAGGGACTTCTAACACCCAAAGGCCTATTTTCAGTCTGTGCTATCTAGGTCTCTTTTAGTCCCAAGCTCGCAAACAGTGTTTTTGATGGTATAATTTTCTTAACTTCTTGAGTTTTTCTGTGAGAATCAATGGATTGATTTTATGTCAGTAGAAAAGCCACTCTCCTGGGTCTTTTTGAGATAAACTTTTCAACTGGCCTCTCCTGTGAAGCTCATACTCTTAAGATCCTTAAATAAATTTGAGGCATACCTGAAACCCTTCTGAGGCCTTAACAAAAGGTTTTATAATCTTGGGTTCATCCATAGGCCATGTTTTCCCAGATTTGTTCTTGACCCAGAATGCATTTCTTTATTTTAGTTGTATTTGACATTACAGCATATGGAAAGGCTATAAATGTGGAAAAAATATTTGCACCCAGTTAGTCCGGGTCTTTCATACTGCATAGACCTTGTTTAGTTTATCTTTTGTGTCCCGTTTTACTTTCAAGTAGTTTGTGGTGCGAGTTCCTTTTCCTCTAGTGTCATTTTCTTCACTTGCCTGGAACCTTTGCTGTCAGCCTCTTCAAGGGCTATCAGGTTTCCATTAACAGTCTGTTAGAAGCCCTTTTGGTTTTCATTCTTACTCTTCCCTACATCCTTTCAGTTACTACCTACCTCTCGGTTCAAAGGAGGTTCAGGTTTAAGTATTTTAAGGGCAGCACCCCATGTTTAATATCAGTATCTGTGCCAGTTATTTATTGTGGCATAATAAGCCATCTCAAAACCTAGTTGCTCAAAACAGCATTTATTTGGTTGACAAGTGTTTAGGCAAAGCCGAGTAAGGCCAACTCATTTCTTCTTCATTTGGTGTCAGCTGAGATGACTGGAAGCTGGGGACTAGAATCATCTAAAATCATGTTCATGCAAATGTTTGGCTGTAGAGGCTGGCTTTTGGCAAGGATGTTAGCTGGGTCAGTCTCAGCTGAAATGTCTACATGAAGACACACCAGGTGGCCTGGGCTTCCCCACAGCAGCTAGATTCTAAGGGTTAGTTTCCCTAGAAGAATGTCAATGGAAGCTGTATCACATTTTTTAACCTAGCCTTAAAAGCAGTTCTGCCGAATTCTATTCACTGGAAACCAATTACTAAGGTCAGCACATTTTAAGGGGTGGGATTATCATGGGAGAAGTGTCAAAGAATTTATAAAACCACCACATCCACTTACCCTGTCTTATAAATCATATCCAGAAGAAAGAAGTTCTTCCCAACTCAGGATCACTGAAACCCTGTCAGGTTTTTCAGTGGTGGTTTTTGGTGCTTAGTATGTTCCCTTGTTTTGTGGGAAGTAACAGAGGATTATAAGATAATACTATTCAATTAGGTGGGGTTTTTTTTATTGTTGTTGTTCAAAAGTATATGGTTCATCTCACTTATACCGAGAGGTGTGGTTTCTTAATCCTGAGAATCATTTCTCCTGGGAATGCAATTCAAATTAATGTAAATCATTTGTAATTCAGAAAAAGGCTTGTGGCTTAGAATCAGTATTTATAGATTCAATAATTAGAGTCTTATTTTCTTTTCTTTTCTTTTTTTTTTTTTTTTAAAGGTTTTATTTATTTATTCATGAGAATACACAGAGAGGAGAGAGAGAGGCAGAGACACAGGCAGAGGGAGAAGCAGGCTCCATGCACCGGGAGCCCGATGTGGGACTCGATCCCGGGTCTCCAGGATCGCGCCCTGGGCCAAAGGCAGGCGCCAAACCGCTGCGCCACCCAGGGATCCCCAGAGTCTTATTTTCAAAGTCTTCTCTTAGGAAGCATTTATTGGTTCAGACCTACATAAGTCAATGTGATATGACTAAAACTTCTTAAAAATTAATGAGAGTATTCATTGGGACACCCGAGTGGCTCAGTGGTTTGAGTATCTGTCTTTGGTTCAGGGCATGATCCAAGGGTCTTGGGATCGAGTCCTTCATTGGGCACCCTGTGGAGCTTGTCCCTCTGCCTATATCTCTGCCTATATCTCTGCCTCTCTCTCTCTGTGTCTCTTGAATAAATAATTTTTAAAAATTATGGTGTGTTAGGATGGGGGAAGGGGCAAAAGACTTTCTTTTCTTTTTTAAAATTTTATTTGAATTCAGTTTGCCTATATAAGAGACTTTATACTAAGAAGTGACTTACAGTTATTTTATGGAAGAAAGATCTGAAGCAGTCATAGAAAAATAAAAGCATAAAATGAAGTACAAATGTTGTGTGGCAAAGACAATGATAGCATAGATCTTTTTTAGTAACTCCTAGTGGTTTTAACTTTGTTCTTAATTTTCTAAGTGCTTCAGGGTTCCACATTCTAAGACTCTACTATAACATAGATTATATTTTATTGCAAATGAATTTATTTTAAAATGGGAGCACCTGGCTGACTCAGTCAGTAGAGCATATGACTCTTGATCTTGACGTTATGAATTTGAGCCTAGGTTCAGTGCAGAGACTTAAAAATAAAATGTTTTTTAAAATGTTGGTTATAGTTGTGGTTAAACTAATTTCACTCCACTTCCAAACTGTATTGTTCTATTCATGCAGATTGGTGATCTTAGAGCAAGATTGGAAACTGAATCTTTAAGATGTCTACACCTGGATGCAAAAAATCAAGTTCTTCAACAGGAGTTATTATCTATGAAAGCAACAGAGAGGGAATGTGAGAAACTAAAACAGATTAAAAAGAAGTTGGAAGAAGAAGTAGTAAACCTCAGAAGTCATGCAGAAGTTAATGTGGTAGAAGGCAGTCAAGTAGAAAAGTATTATAAATGGGAGATTGACCAGAGAGCAAGATTGATTGTAGAAGAAAGATTAAAAGAAGTCAATCTATTTTTACAGGTTAGTTTATTGATCTGTGATATGCTTTCATTTATTTCATTACAAATTACACTTTGGTTATATGCATTGTGTATGTTTCCTCTGCTTCCTTTACAGCAATCTGTTTGGTATATTTCTGGAGGCATTCGTTCCTCCCTGTAAAGATTTCAGTTTTCATCATTATTCTCACTAAATTGATCTTTCAGAATGACTCTCAGGAGAGAATCATTTTATTTTTATGACCAGTATGTATGAAACAAGACTATTTTTTTAAGATTTTATTTATGTATTCAGGAGATACACATAGAGAGGAAGAGAGAAGCAGAGACACAGGCAGAGGGAGAAGCAGGCTCCATGCAGGGAGCCTGATGTGGGACTTGATCCTGGGACTCCAGGGTCACACCCTGGGCCGCAGGCAGGTGCTAAACCGCTGGACCACCCAGGGATCCCCTGAAACAAGACTATTAAGAGGAAAAGAAAAAATTGTGATTTAAAACTTTTACCGTGGGGATTCCTGGGTGGCCCAGTAGTTTTAGCACCTGCCTTTGGCCCAGGGCGTGATCCTGGAATCCCGGGATCAAGTCCCACATCGGGCTCCCAGTGTGGAGCCTGCTTCTTCTCTGCCCGTGTCTCTGCCCACCCCCACTGTGGCTCTCATGAATAAATAAAATAAAATCTTTAAAAATAAATAAATTTTAAAAAATAAAACTTTTACCATGGAGTATCTGGGTGGGTCAGTTGGTTAAGCAGCAGACTCTTGATCTCAGCTCAAGGTCTTGGTCTCAGGTTTGTGAAATCAAGCCCTGCATTGGGCTCCATGTTCCATTCCTGGGTTATTCTTCCTTCTTGAAGATTTCATTTATTTTTTTATTTCCTTATTTATTTTTTGAACATGAGCAGGGGAATGGCGGGTGGGGGGAGAGAGAGAGAGAGAGAGAATATGAATGAATCCTGGGTAGACTTCCATACTGGGTGCGACACAGGGCTTGGCCTCAGGACCTCTGACTGAGAACATGCTCTGAGCAGAAATCAAGAAACGGGTTATTCTCAAGTCGTATTATGCACTTTTTAAAATTTTTAATTGATTTGTTCTTTGAAGTATCAGATTGCATGAGTACTAATATAAGAATGATTAAACTTTATTTTTATCATTCAGATTTAATTCAGGTGACACTGATGATAAATATTTTACACTTCAGCTTTTTTTACACATTTAAAATTGCTCTCTGAATCATTGACTCCCAATTAAAGGAAAGAAATATACTATAATTACTCAAGTTTTAGCTGTTTTAAAACTGTCCTTTAATTTGCTTTAGAGACGAGCAGCATCTCAAGAAAACTTAGAGCAGTTAAGAGCAAGTCATGATGCTTCAATAAGAAGTCAAGTGGCACTCAGAATTAAAGAGCTGGAATCTGAACTTCAATCCAAAATAAGAAATTCTCAAGAACTTAAAATAGAATTGGAAAAGTACAGGCAACTCTACCTAGAAGAATCAGAAATGCGAATGTCATTGACAAAAAAACTGAGCAAGTAAGTTAAAACAGAATCAATGAAAATAGATTTAGCTTATTGATTTGCCTCTAAAACATAATTTTTATGGAGATGGGTTCATGAGATTAGTAGGAAGTGAAAGCCAACTGGATAGTATAATTTGGAAAATAACGTTTGTAAATAAACTTACCATTTTATGTTCATCCAGGATCGTTTGCCTCTCTCCTCTTTTTTTTTTGGGGGGGGGGTGGTTTATATGATTTTACTTTTTCCCGTTAATATTTTCAGTTACTCTATCTTGTTGCCTTTAGAAACTAATTGTTTAAAACTTTATAATTTAGACAGCATATTACTTTTTTAAAGTTGATATATTTTATTGAACACAATACATCAAAAAACATCCTTTTAACTTGTGATCAATATAAAATTATTACTGAGATATTTCAGTTTTTTTTCATTTGAAATCTTAAAAATCCGGCATGTATTTTACAATTATGGTATATTTCAATTAGAATACTAAATTTTCATTGGGAATACGTATCTATATTTAAACTTCATAAAATTTATAGTGGAAAAAGCAGATTCACATACCTGCATCTTTACAACCCTACTTAAAAGTTTTTTTTTAATTTTTTATTGGAGTTCAATTTGCCAACATATTGCGTAACAACCAGTGCTCATCCCGCCCCAGTGCCCCCCTCAGTGCCCATCACCCAGTCACCCCAACCCCCTTGCCCACCTCCCTTTCCACCATCCCTTGTTTGTTCCCCAGAGTTAGGTGTGTCTCATGTTTTGTCACCCTCACTGATATTTTCACTCCTTTCCCTTTATTCCCTTTCACTAATTTTTATATTCCCTAAATGAATGAGACCATATAATGTTTGTCCTTTTCCGATTGATTTATTTCACTCAGCATAATACCCTCCAGTTCCATCCACGTTGAAGCAAATAGTGGGTATTTAGACAGCATATAACTATAAAATTTTTTGTCAGAATTACCCTAAATAGAAATATTAATGAGTTCATTTTTGGAAGGTTACATCTTTAACTCAAAAGATCAAGTGCCAATACTGTACATCCTGGCAGGTTGGTAAATTAACTTTCTTGATTATGTCTTTGGTATTATCACTAGAGAGCCTGAGGGTGGGGGAAACCTTTGTAGGTTTTCTACTTTATATAAAAGTATACATGTGAAATAGAGAAAGATTCACATTGGGGTGAAAGGCAGTATAAATCCCAACGTGGCTAAAAATAGCATCATGGTGGGCATGAGGGGGTGTGTGGAAGACAAAAAGGGCAGATTCTACTTCCAGGGCCTTGGTAAGTGTGTTATCAGCTAATTGCCTCTGGAGCTGTTTCAGTCCTTCTGATCACTGCTCTGCCATCTACCTGGCCCCTAGAGGTTGTTGGTCTGAGGTATTCCTCGGTGCGAAACCCTCAGTTTCTCTGAGGCAATGAGTAAAATGTACAAGAGTGGTGAAAGCACATCCTTGAAAATGTCTTTGAGGGATGGTTTATTTTTATGTCTCTGAATTGGTTTACTAAATACAAATATGTGTAACAGCATTCTCCAGAATCTTGTAATTACAGCCATTCCAGAAGGTAGCAAGTATTACCTGTATTACCTGTCAATCCGTGTACATCACTGTCAGCCATTTCTTTCCCTCACCTAATTTGAATTTCTTGTTAGTTAGTTATCCCTGGAATCATATATACTCCTTTGGAATAATTTTAAACCTATAAGTATATATAGTAGCTCTGCTCTGTCACATTTTCAGTGTTAAAACACTGTGTACTGGCACACTGTGTTTGCTGTTATGGAAACTTAAAAAAAAATGCAGGTCATGCAGGAATGATTTGGGTAGAAATGAAATACTAAGCACTTGTGTTGTGTAATCTTCACAGGACTAATGAGAGGCTGGAAGATACCAGATATCTGGTGGAGAGACAGCAGAACAGACCTTTCCACAGCACTCTTAATATGGGACCAGTCTTGGAAGGGCCTTATGTTGGAAATTTGACTAGTAGTTTACTGCTGGATGGAAATGTTACTCCAAGAGAAAATGTAATGATTCCTACCTCAAGGCCGCAGACTTCAGTTAGCAGCATTGAAACTCACTTGATCAAGGTTAGTTATATTATCTTTCTTTTCTTGAGTTTCAGATTTCCAATAAAATTTTTGTTTTTAATTTGGTGAAATTCTGAGTTAACTGAATAATACTCATTAAGTAAAAGTTATACTGGTTTGTGCTAATAAGGAAATGGGACAGAAATTTTATGGTATTTTTTTTTAACTTCTGGAGCTCTTATTTTCAAGAGATACCTATTATTAACTTTATTTAATAAGTACAACTAAACTGACACATTTTATCTTATTTTTTAAAGATTTTATGTATCTGAGAGAGAAGAGAGTGTGCCCACGAGTAGGGAGAGAGGTGGAGAGAGTAGAGAGAGGGGGAGAATCTCAAGCAGGCTTCCCACTGAGTGTGGAGCCTGACTCAGGGCTTGATCCCATGACTCCAAGATGATGATCTGAGCTGGAATCAAGAGTTGGATGCTTAACCAACTGAGTTACCCAGGCACCCCCAAACAGACCCATTTTCTTGAAAAGCTATGTTAAATAGGATTTTGGAAAGTAAATATTATTACCTACTAACCCAAAGTACACTTAGATGCTTTGACTTATTCTCTGATTAGCAATAGTTTATAATATGTTTAAAGTTTGCTGTAACCCAGTTTTCCACCCCTATGCATAAGTGAATGATTAGAATCCAAACGCTTAACCATGTAGAGATATTTATTATTTTAATGATTCCACGGTTAAGTCCTTTTTATGAATTAAATAAACTTGTAACACTAAAGAGATTGATTTTTCTTTTTAAGTTCAATGTTTTTGGGGCACCTGTGTGACTCAGTGGTTGAGCATCTATCTGCCTTTGGCTCAGGTCATGATCCAGGGGTCCTGGGTTTGAGTCCCGCAACAGGATCCCCACAGGGAGCCTGCTTCTCCCTCTGCCTATGTCTGTGCTTCTCTCTCTGTACTTTTTATGAATAAATAAAACAGTTTAAAAAAAGTTGTAAGTTTTGGCATTTTTTTTAAATTTTTATTTATTTTATGATAGTCACAGAGAGAGAGAGAGAGAGGGAGGCAGAGACACAGGCAACGGGAGAAGCAGGCTCCATGCACCGGGAGCCCGATGTGGGATTCAATCCCGGGTCTCCAGGATCGCGCCCTGGGCCAAAGGCAGGCACTAAACCGCTGCGCCACCCAGGGATCCCAGTTTTGGCATTTTCTTACATGAGAGCACATCCCTAATTGCTTTCTTATAACACTTTTTTTTTTTAACTTCTATTACTTCTATTTCAATTTTCATAAAATGGCTTGCTGCGCAACTGTAGAGATTTTCTAAATAAGTCAAGGAAATATTTGATTCTTTTTTTTTTTTTTTTGAGAGAGAGAGAGAGAAAATGAAGGAAAGCAAGCAGGTGGTAAAGGGCAATGGGAAAGAGAGAAGAGAGACTCTTAGGCAGGCTCCATGCTCAGAGTGGAGCCGGATCTCATGACCCTAAGATCATGACCTGGGCCAAAATCAAAATTCTGACACTTAACTGACTGAGCCACGCAGGCATCCCACAAATAATTGGATATTTCAAATGAAATTCACATATATTTGCCTTGATGCCATCACTTGAATGATTGATGACTAAGATGGCAGTGATAGGGAGCCTTTAATAACAACTCATTTCCATTGTGTATCATTGTTGTTAAAATACCCATTTCAATCAATGCACATTAGGCTTATGATTTTGATAGTATATTCATGGTTTTATTAATGTAGAAAAATGTAGCATAGACTCATGTTAAATGAAGCCTTAGTCTTGTTTTTTCATTCGACTTCCTTGTTTTCTTCCTCTATTCTCTTCTGATTCGATGACTTTTGTATTATGTTTGGATGCTTTTCTTCCTTTTGTGTATCTGTTATAAATATTTGGTTTGTGATTACCATGAAGTTCATATATAACATCCTGTGTATGTATAGCAGTCTCTTTTAAGTTGATGGTTACTTCAGTTCAAACAGATTTTAAAAACACTGCATTTTTACACCCTGCCTTGTTTTATAAATTTTTTTAAAAAATTTTTAAAATTTTTATTTATTTATGATAGTCACAGAGAGAGAAAGAGAGAGAGGCAGAGACATAGGCAGAGGGAGAAGCAGGCTCCATGCACCGGGAGCCCGATGTGGGATTCAATCCCGGGTCTCCAGGATCGCGCCCTGGGCCAAAGGCAGGCGCCAAACCGCTGCGCCACCCAGGGATCCGTTTTATAAATTTGATGTCATAGTTTACACCTTTGTATTTTGTGTATCCCTTAACTAGTTACTGTAGATATAATTGATATTATTACTTTTGTCTTGTAACCCTCATACTGGCTTTATAAAAATGGTCTATTACCTTTACTGTATGTTTGCTTTTACGATAAAACTGTCTCATTATTATTTCTAGTTATGGTCGTTCTTTCTTTCTTTCTTTCTTTCTTTCTTTCTTTCTTTCTTTCTTTCTTTGAGAGCAGAGTGAGTGAGAACACAAGTGAAGGGGAAGGAGGGGCAGAGGGAGAGGAAGAAGCAGGCTCCTCTCTGAGCAGGGAACAGGGAGTCCCTTACAGAGCTTGATCCCAGGGTCCTGGGAGACTCTTCACCAACAGCCGTCCAGGTACCCTGGCCTTTTCTGATTAAAGAAGTCTTTTAACATCTCTTATAAGGCCTATTTAGTGGTGATGAACTTCTTTAAGTCTTGTTTCTCTTGGAAACTCTTTATCTTTCTTTCAGTTCTGAATTATAAACCTTGCCAAAAATATCCTAGGTTTTTTCCTCTTAGCACTTGGAAAATATCATGCCACAATTTCTTTTTTTTTTAACTTTCTTTTTAAATAATAAATTTATTTTTTATTGGTGTTCAATTTGCCAACATACAGAATAACAACCAGTGCTCATCCCATCAAGTGCCCCCCTCAGTGCCCGTCACCCATTCACCCCCACCCCCTGCCCTCCTCCCCTTCTACCACCCCTAGTTCATTTCCCAGAGTTAGGTGTCTCTCATGTTTTGTCACCCTCACCGATATTTTCACTCATTTTCTCTCCTTTCCCTTTATTCCCTTTCACTAATTTTTATATTCCCCAAATGAATGAGACCATTATAATGTTTGTCCTTCTCGGATGGACTTATTTCACTCAGCACAATACTCTTGAGGTCCCTCCACGTCGAAGCAAACGGTGGGTATTTGTCGTTTCTAATGGCTGAGTAATATTCCATTGTATACATAGACCACATCTTCTTTATCCATTCATCTTTCGATGGACACCGAGGCTCCTTCCACAGTTTGGCTATTGTGGACATTGCTGCTATACACTTCGAGGTGCAGGTGTCCTGGCGTTTCACCGCATCTGTATCTTTGGGGTAAATCCCCAGCAATTGCTGGGTCGTAGGGCAGATCTATTTTTAACTCTTTGAGGAACCTCCACACAGTTTTCCAGGGTGCATGCCACAATTTCGGCTGAAAAACCCACTGATATCCCTGTAGTGGTTCGCTTTTATATAACTAATTGCTTTTCTTTTCTTTTTTTTTTCTGCTTTTAAGATTCTCCTTTTCTCTTTAATTTTTGACTTGTTATTATGTGTCTTGGTGTGAAACTCTTTGGGTTCCTTTTATTTGGGACTGGCAGTGCTTCCTGGGCCTGGAGGTCTGTTTCTTCCCCAGGTAAGGGAAGTTTTTAGGTATTCTTTCTTCAAATAAGTACTTCACCCTTTTCTCTCTTCTTTTTCTGGGACCTCTCTAATGTGAGTTTTATTACACTTGATGCTGTTCCAGAGGTCCCTGTATCTTAATTTTTCAAATTCTTTCTTCTTTTTGCTTTTCAGCTTGGATGATTTTTTACTACCCTTTCTTGCAGATTGCTGATCTGTTCTTCACATCTTTTAATCTGCTGTTGATTGTGTCTGGTGTATTTTTCATTTCAGTTATTGTATTCTGCAGCCCTAATTGGTTCTTTTGTATATTTTCTCTTTGTTAAAGTTCTCACTGAATCTGTCCATTCTTCCAAGTTTGCTGAGCATCTCTGTGACCATTACTTTGAATTCTTTATCAGGCCGACTCCTTATCTCTGTTTCATTTCGTTATTTTTCTGATGTTTTGTCTCGTGGCCTTGTTCTTTCATTTGGAACATACTCCTCTGTCTCCTCGTTTTGTCTTTCTCTGTTTCTAAAATTGTCTTTCCAACTTTTCCCTCTTCAAAATGTGTTGCTTTGAACAATGAATGTTAGTTATAAAGCCAAGCAAGAAGAAACATTTTTCAAAGTATTGTCTGGTCATTTCTCTCATTGGAGCTGTGGTGGGGTAGGTGGCAGATGACAGTGCTCTTCTTTTTCTGAGTTCAGAGCACAGGAGTCAGGCAGATGGAGTTAAACTTAGTAGCTTTGTTACTAATACATGCTAATGGATTGGAGGATGTGGTTTGGGTGGGTATGTAGCCACAGTGGGCTTCCCAATTCTTTATCCCAAATTAGGCACTTCCCCACACAGTTGTAAATGGAGGAAACCAATGTTTGATGCCCATCCCACGAAGATGAGAGCAGACCTGAATTCATGTTACCATGGGTGAGCACATCTTTTCCAAAAAGAGATTTGGAATCTCATAAGCACTGCCTAGTGCCTTCTCCCCAATTCACTCATTAGGTAAATCTCCCTTCCTGCTGTGAGGAAGGTAGAGATAAGTCCACTTGTGGGTAATGATGGTTTACCTCTAATTTCTGACTGGATTTAAATTAAAGTTAGTCCTGTCTTTTGTACATACCAACTCTCATAATGATGAGAGGTTGGACAGAGCATACTAGGTGGTAAAGAGAAATCTGTTTTGTGTTTAATAATCCACAACATAGATAACTCATTTGTTGACTGATTTTGGTAAACCAAGTTTTATCTGGAGGAAAAGAATAATTCTTTCCAGGAAGAGTTTCCTCCATTTCAGCCTCTTTGGTTCAACTAAAGATTTTCTCCTTCAAGTTCCGTGTCTTGTGGTTTAAAAAATTTGTGCTTATAAATGCAGTCTATTAACTGTTCCTAATAGGAGTTAA